AACCTACGCACAACACTAACATTCTCACCGGCACTCTCACGATCACTACAATCGTCGCTCTCCGACTCATTGCTCCCTTCACCGTCCGTCCCATCATCTGCTTCCTCTGCGCTCTCTCTGTTATCCCGCCTGACATGGTCCATTGAACGGGACTCGGCCGTCACCCTGCTCTCACGTCCCTCCTTGCGCCCTTGTCCGTTGAGGGCGTAGTTTCTGTTGTAGTTGGCTGTTGACCGTCTTGGTCTTTCAATAGTGGACCTGATTGAGGCATCCGCAGAGGAGCTTGCTGCAGAGCCTGCATTGCCATCAGTGTAACTGCTGCAGTTTTCGAAGTGCGTGCGTGTGTGTGTGTGTGTGTGTGTGTGTGTGTGTGTGTGTGTGTGTGTGTGTGTGTGAGTGTGCTCATGTGTGTGTGTGTGTGTGTGTGTGTGTGCTGTTGACAATCCGGTAGCGCATGGCGACCATTGCGTGATCCGTACCACACTCAGCACTGTGTATAACCTGTGAGTCCAAACATCGTTGCCAGTGATTTCTTGGAATAATGACGTAGTCAATGCAATGCTGTGTTTTGGTGCGGGGGTGTTGCCAAGTCCATCGTGTGTCGTATTCTTTCTGGAACCAAGTATTACAAATCATTGCCTCATTTGTGAGCAAGAAACTCATCAGCTCCTGTCCAGAAGAATTTGCCACTCCATGTCCAAACGGGCCACGCACGTAACTCCAGTCATCGTCAGCATGTAAACGTGTACCCACACGCGCGTTGAAATCTCCCAGTAGGATGTACTGTTCAGTTGCTGGGACGCCAGTGATAGCTTGTTGAAGGGCGCCATAGAAAGACTCCTTCAGGGTCTTCGAGCTACTGAAAGTTGGAGCATACGCACTCATCACTGTCACCCAGACGCTGTCACCGCCCTGGAGAGTAAATAGTAGTCGAGCTGACACCAAACGTGATCCGTGGGCTGTCCATTGACAGCCGCCAGCACGCCACGCTTCGATCGCGTCGCCGTTCAAAACAATACAAACACCTTCGCCACGACGGAAAGAAATTTCGCCAGCATTATTGTCATCGCGAGGGACTGGTCGTCCTGAGGCCAGCACAACAGCTCTAAACATGGAGTGCCGAGGTTTGATGTCTCCAAGTTCCGTGATACACTGGCTCGGGGAAGAAACGTAGACTGCGAGTTGATCCGGGAATATCAGACCAAGACGGAGACAGTATTGAATGGGAAGTTATCATCACCCATCACCACTACTGGGGAGCATTGGCATGTTCTCCGTGACACGCTTACTGAAGCGGCAGGGGATGTCCTCGGCCGTAGCAAACGCAGGCAACCAGACTGGTACGTGGACAGCCGGGAAATCATCCAACCTCTACTTGCCAGACGGAACGAGTTGTACTCCCGATGGATCAAGACTGGCCAGTCCAACAATCCAGTACTGGTAGAATTCCGGAGGGCTCGAGGAGAGGCCCGCGCCGCTGTGCGAAGGGCGAAAAATGACTGGTTCGTGGCCAAGGCAGCGGAGTTGGAACAGTCACGTTTCAGCTCAGCCCACGTATGGTCTTGTATTCACGATATGCAGGCCGCACGGCAAGGCTTGCGCAGTAAGGCAACTGTGCCTATACGTGATCTGAACAACAACATATGCAAGTCTCGAGCAGAGCAGGGTACGCAGTGGCGACGGCACTTTGCCAACATACTTAATGTCGCGTCCGTGTTTGACCCAGAGGAGATTGATCAGCTAGAGGCCAGGGATCCAGTCCCAGAGCTCGATGACCTGCCAACTGCTGAGGAGCTACAGCGAGCTATAAGCAAACTACGCAATGGAAAGGCGGCCGGTGAGTCAGGCATCCTACCGGAGATGATCAAGTACAGTGGCCAGAGGTTCAGTGAGTCTCTGTTGGAACTCCTCCATCGCGTCTGGAATGATGGCACAGTACCGCAGGAATGGGTCGACTGTAATCTTATACCCATTCCCAAGAAAGGCGACCTGAGTCGCTGCGATAATTGGCGAGGCATTTCCCTCTTGGATGTTGCCGGTAAAGTACTTGCCCGCATTGTGCAGACTCGCCTGCAATCTATGGCTGAGTCCTTCTTACCAGACACTCAGTGTGGTTTTCGACGAGGGCGATCCTGTACGGATATGATATTTGTGGTCCGCCAGATGGTGGAGAAGGCATTTGAACATCGAGGGAAAGCTTTCCTCCTGTTCATCGACCTCCGCAAGGCTTATGACTCTGTCAGTCGGGATTGCCTGTGGCGCGTACTGGAGAAAGCTGGTGTTCCTCCCCGTCTCCTATCCATTGTTCAGTCCTTCCACACCTCTATGCAGGCTACAATTTGCGTTGATGGTGATAGACTCGATCCATTTGCTGTGAGGAATGGCCTCCGTCAAGGTTGCTCCATGGCTCCCACATTATTTAACATCTTCATGTGGGCAGTCTTCCAACGGTGGTATGCCCGCGTCGCAGATATCCCCGGAGCTGGTGTTCCGATTCATACTAATGCAAGGCAACGTCTGTTCTTCCGACGACACCGCACAGACACTAGACGTTCCATCCTTGACTGCCAATTTGCAGATGACTCTGCCCTGATGGCCACGCGTCGGGAGGCAATAGAGACTTGCCTAACGGCATTTGTTGAGGTGGCAGGTGCATTCGGTCTCAAAGTTAACCTAGAGAAAACCAAGCTCATGGTCACCGGTCATCATGTTACTGAAGAGGATGTGCGCCCGCTGATGTTGAATGGCCATGCGGTGGAGGTGGTCTCTGAGTTTCGCTACCTCGGAACTAATATCCACGCTGATGGCCGCTGCTCCCGGGATATCGAGTCCAGGATAGCTGCTGCATCACGTGCCTTTGGCGTTCTGAGTCGCCCAGTGTTTCGGGATAACAATCTAACGCTGGCCACCAAGCGAACAGTGTTTGAGGCGTGTGTGCTGAGCTTGCTGCTGTATGCGTCTGAGTGCTGGGTACCACTCCAAGCCGATATTGCCAAGCTGTCATCTTTTTACATGAGATGCCTCCGCACCATCATGGGTGTGTCACGCTCTGACGTCTGGGACTTCCACATCAGCAACACCACCATCCTGGAGCAGTGGAATGATGCCAGACCCCTGCCCATCAAGGACCGGATTGTGCAACGCCGTTTGGAATGGTTTGGCCACGTTATGCGCATGGATATGGAACGGACACCCCGGGTTGTTCTGTTCGGCTGCCGACCGGAGACCCGACCTGCATGCGGCCCACGAAAGCGCTGGCGAGACGCTCTGAGTCCGGATCTACAGCGATGTGACGTACAGGACTCTTGGCCAGAAGATACCCAGTCACGACCAGGGTGGAGGAACATCTACCGTGAGCTGGAACCAGCTTCGTCACCAGTGCGTAATGTGCAATGTCTTGTCTGCCGACGCGTATTTAGCAGGCCTTCGGACAAGCGCCGTCACAAGTGCTTGGATGAAAGGGCCAAGCCCATAGCAGAGCAGCGCGGTGCAGTGCAATGTCCCCAATGTCAACGGTGGCTACGCAGCCGTGGTGGGCTATCGCGGCATAAATGCACACCCCATGATCCTCAGCCCCGTGAAGACCATCCCCAGGCTATTGCAAGGGACTGTTGCGCAGCTCACTGCCCCACATGTGACCGCTGTTTCGCCAGACCGTCTGACAGATCACGACACAAATGCCACCGTAGTACGCATCGCCCGACTGCAGCAACACGATTGACATTTGAATGGTCCTGCCCCGACTGTGGCCGCCGTTTTCGCCGCGGGAGCGACCTCACCCGACACAGGTGCCAGCGGCCTCCCTCCTCCCCGGTTCTCTCTTAAGGAGAGCCACGTGGCCCTTGTGGCAGTGCTGAACAGGAACAGGAACAGGTGTGTGTGTGTGTGTGTGTGTGTGTGTGTGTGTGTGTGTGTGTGTGTGTGTGTGTGTGTGTGTGTGTGTGTGTGTGTGTGTGTGTGTGTGTGTGTGTGTGTGTGCAGGTGTGTGTGTGTGTGTATGTAGTGTGTGTGTCTGTGTGTGTGCATGCGTAACGTTACGGCCTGTATTGAATTGTGTACTTTGAAGTTATTTGTGGCAGCTCAAATTAGAAAAGATAGTAAATATCCCTGTTGCAATCAACATATCACGTATAATGACATAATTACTCAATCTGCGGACAGCATGCTGTAATGACATAATTATTACTTTATTGGAATTTGAAAAATAAATTCAAGTAACCATGACAATATTACATGTGTTACGTGCGTGGAAATATGTCGCTAAGCCAATAAGCCGATCGTTATGATATCAGCTGAGCCACTAAGGAAATATCACGATCGTTTCAGCCCTAGGACTCTATGAGCATGCGCACTGAGAGAGAGGATGTTGATTTTGAGAGAGACGAAGTTTCCTTTTACTTGTGGGATTTTGTCTTTGCTTCTGGAGTGAATTGTAATTCTTTTCTTTGACTGCTGTGGAAATAAATAATCCTAAGAAATCCTGCAAGCAAGCAGGTTACAATACCAGCGATCTATATCTTTGTGCATAGATTGGTGTTTCTTCGTGTCGTATGTTTATCCTCATATTTCCAGCTTTGCAATAGTTGTTGGGGGTAGATAAAAGTGTGTTTGACGTGGTGTCCATTTAAAATCAGTTGAGTCAAATGGCCTGGAATAGCGCTTCCGATCATTGGTCATAGCACAGCCATGCAGATTTGGCTAAGAGCAAAACATATTGTAGACTCAATGTGACAACGTTTTCGAATCAAAACACCTAGACAGAATGTGAATTTGACCCCGCTCCTGTTTTTCGTGTGATCTCTGATAAGCTTCTGCAGCCTCTACAAATGATGCACTATATTGCCAGGTGGAAATTGGGCCAAGTGTTTTGCTACACCTGTGGCATATGGAAAGGGTTTCTAAAATCCCATTTCGAAAGTTAAGTTTGGATGAACTTTCAACTTCTTTTCATTTCTATCAAATTAAAAAAAAATTATTGCTGTTTTATCACGACTCTGCAGTTCCTCCTGCGCCAATTGTCAATTCTGCAAGGCCACTAGCCACCGAGGTGACAATTCACCTAACACGTGTAAAAGGAAATTATCACTTGTCCAACTTCTGCTGTTACTTCACAAGGCAATCGGTGTCCGACATACATATGTCAAACTTGTCAAGTGTCCTGATCTGCAACAAGACCAGTCCTGTTGTCCTTTCACCGGTTGAAGAAGATGCAACATATATATATCACTGTGTTGCTAGAAACACGTATAATGCATTGGATGGAAATGCTACAGAACAAAAAATGTTCAGTACAACAGCAACAGGTAGGGAGCCGGTATCAGAGATTTGTTGCAGAATATGCAGAGAGCAGACTAGCAAACCCTGCAGCTGTGTTCTGGGGAAATAAGGAGAGTTGAAGTACAATAATGCTGCAGTATGGAGTGCTGCATACTGGCATGTTGCCAATGCACTTGACATGCTCTCCTCCGCTTTGTACACTTCCTTTAAAATCCTCTAAGTGGTAGTATCCCGAAACTCCTAAGGTCCCCCATCAATCATCGCCTTGAGGCAAGCTGATTGAAGGCTTGTGCACATGGGTCCTGGAAGGTAGGTTTTCACCCAAGTTGTGCTGGCTCAAACATCAACTAAGGTTCCCTGAAAGACAGCACCAGCTTTTTGGGACTCCCACTTTATGTGTTGAGAGCTTTTTGCTCACTTCGTTTCACATTGCTAGCCATTCTTGCATGTGTGAACTGCTACTCGGGATGTGTATGATGAGACGGGGTGCATACTGCATACTGTTGGTCATTGCATCATCACTGCATCACTTTAACCTTTGCATTGCTGAGCCCATAGTATTACACAACAGTATTACGTGATGAGTGTACATCGCGCATTGATGAGAATTAACAGGGCGTGCATATGTTCATATGCCCGTTAATTCTTACTCGATTCCCAATCGAAATAATGTAGGGCGATGCGAAAGCTCTCAGCTTGCAATCGGATCAATATTCGTTGATTTATGATGCTCCATAGACAAGCATACCCACACGAAACCAACGACTATTGTGCAGTGAGTGGGTGCTTGATTTTCTTCTTTCTGTGTTTTTTTCAACGTGGTGCCACGACTACTCCGAGATATTGACCTGCGGGAGTGTTCAAAAAACATTTGACCTCGATACAACCGAGGAGAGTCAAATGGCGGCTGAAAGAAAACTTTCTTTTGATTTTTGCAAACGCGACTTTGGGACAAATTCGCTTAGTTCTAAATCTTGTCTCCTGTCATGGGAAGACTTATGGTTCAGCTCCTCTTTTTCCTGGTTGTAGTAGCTTTCCAGGAAGCCAAAGACCATGAAATATGGAGAATGTGGATGACTGAGCTACGGCCTTTTACCTGCAGTATGTTTTTAGTAAAAATGACCCGTTTTCTCTGATCCTTAGGGCCCTGGCAGCAGTATACGCATACATACACCGGTACACCGCATGCACTCGATTGTTTAGTGAATGCTTCAGACTATTTTGATAGCTGGATTGCCTTGCTAGTGCTAAGCTTGATGTACATGATGACTAGGCGCCAGGCGCGAACTGATGGTGGTGAGAAGGAGAGCTCTGTGCCAGAACTTTGCAGCTTAGAGAGCGTGTGCGGGCAGGCGTGTGTTTACCGCCATATTGCCAGGTGTGTCTTTACCACCATATTTATCAACCATAAGTACAGCTGCAGTGGTGTCTTCAACTTCATTCTCCCGAGTCAAGCTCAGTATGAAAGACATCCAAGAAGAAGATTGCCTGATGAGTCCAGCGGGGACGAAACGTACGTCGCAATCGAGCTATGTTGTTGCTGTGTCATCTTCTATGTGCCATGCACTACTTGATGTTCCAGCCTGCTATGTCGGATACCGCCAACCATGCATTGAGTAGGCGCCAGGCACTAACTGATGGTGGTGGTTGTGAGAAGGAGAGCTCTGTGCCAGAACTTTGCAGCTTAGAGAGCGAGTGTGGGCAGGTGTGTTTTCCGCCATATTGCCAGGTGTGTCTTTACCACCATATTCATCAACCATAAGTACAGCTGCAGTGGTGTCTTCAACTTCATTCTCCCGAGGGCTGAAAGGGCTAACGAGTACCGTAAAAGCCCCTGTATACGCCCACTCAAAATTACGCCCACCCTCCGTGTACACGCCCAGTCAGGGGAAGTCAACACTTTTGTTTCGAAATGGCGCCCATGCCCATGTATACACCCAGGTATGCCTGCAACACCAGTACATGTACAAATACTGATACCCAATACATACTGCTATCCCTACTCCAAGTATATGCCGTGCCCTTGTATACGCCCAGGAAACCGAGGTTGCTATTCTATACGCCCGGGGCCTATACACGGGCTTTTACGGTAAAGCGAAAGTTCCAAACGAAACTTTGCACTTTACAGTATTGCCCTTCTCCTTCTATCTCTATCTCTATCTCCATCCCACTTTATATCTATCTCTATCTATCTATCTCTCTCTATCTCCATCTCTATCTCTATCTCTCTCTCTCTCTCTATGTCTATCTATCTCTATCTATCTTTATCTAACATAATCAAGTAGCTCCACTGTCCGAAGAGTGAAGAGCGAGAGGGGAAGCTGTGTCGCAACTCCGAGTTTCACGTAGTCACGATTATTAGCTAACTGAATCTATCTCTATTTCTATCTCTCTATTCACCTCATTATGGACAGCTCCAAGTGTGGCACCTGGCAACTTTATCTTGGACTCCAGAACAGCAACAACAGTAACACTCAGCTGGACTGCTGTAGACCCATACAAGCTGAATGGAAAGCTGGTTGCATACCATGTTGACTGTGCACATCAGAATGGCAGCCATGTGACATCGGCCAGTACCAGCCACACCCATGCAACACTCTCAGGACTAACTTTTGATACAACATACAACTTATCACTGGTCGCTGAATCAACCGGTGGTACCGGCAGCTACGAGAGTCGCCTGCAAAGTTCTACCACCCAGGATGGTAAGACAATGAGTTATTCTCATGTGGCCAGTTTTTCAACCTATCAACTGCCGAGCCCGTACTATTAAGTGATTCTAGATTATGTCCAGGCTCTTTACGTGTTCCTCAAATACACACTTGAAAGAAGGAATCCAAGCGTTTTGCTGTAACTCTGAGTTTCACGGTTTTGTAAGAGGCACAAGCAACTGCACAGCACTGTGACTAGATACAATGTAGTATTGGAATGGACTGTAATATCTAGTAGTTTTAGTGTTACAGCGGTTGGTACATGTACTGAAACACTGAAACTGCATGCACGTGATATTCACTGATACTCTGCCATTGTTGAATTTGCACGAGAAATGGTGGAGTTACGAAGGTTTTAGTGGTCGATCATATGATCGAAAGTCTGTAGACAGGTACCAACCGCTGTAGCACAAAAACTACTAGATAATACAGTCCATTCCTATACTATCTAGTTACAGTACTGTACAGATGCTCGTGACTCGTATCCATGTGTCACTGCTCCATTCCGTGAGTGATAAAATAATATTGATCGATCTTAAACATTTTGCATCCATGTTGAAGGTCTGTTGAGTGGTCGCTTAAAAGGCTGTATTTACATGGAAGTTTTCAACCTGGGTCAAATTTCAACCCACCATGAGCACAGATTGACTGGATGGATCATTTACATGACACATTGCAGTTGACCTGGAAATTTCAACCCTTCCATCAGGGGAGGGTTGAAATCAAGGAATCGCACTACCTTACCTCTGTGCATATTTCGTGCCAGGTTTGCGCAGCACTGGAAAGGCAACGTTCACGCGAAAGTAGTTACGCGGCCATACAGCACTCTAGAAGTGGACTTTTGTCGGCATATCAGTAATTGACCTGGGTCAACCTTTTTCATGTGAGCACTCCCCAATCCCTAGTTTTTTCAATCGTACAGAATGTGGTAGTCATGCATTGTACATCACGGCTGTAGTACTGATGTGCACAGTCATGGTAACAGTGCATTGCGTAATGCTCTTGGCCATATGCTGCTGTTGAGCTGGTTTTACAGATGAAGAATCTGAGAGACACAATGGCTAGTTGTCTATTCTTTCCGTGTGCTTAGTCTGGCTTCTTGCATGCCTACATTGGCGCAGTGAACAGGCACGGATTTGTCGCCATGTCCGCTCCCAAAGGCAGAGCGCCGAAGGAATTTGTACCTGACTTTTCCAGCAACATCGGAGCCGATTTCGAATTGTGGCTCGAGGACGTTGATGATTACCTGAAAATTTGTGGAGTTACGACGGCAGCTGATAAGAAGAGGCTGTTTCTGAACCTTGCAGGCCTCGCTGTCAGGCGTATTGTTAAAGGAATCGTAGTTCCTACTCCACCAGCTCAGGCTGATGGCAGTGCCGGATGTGAGTACAAAGCTCTGACGGATGCTGTGATTGCTCATTTTCGTCCTGCCACAAACACAACGTCGGAACGCCACCGGTTCCGTCAGCTTCGCCAGAATGAGGGTGAGTCTGTCACATCGTTTGTGGGACGCCTGCGCGAAGCAGCTGATCGCTGTGAATTTGCGTCTACTGCCGTGGACACCATTGATCAGGGACAAATCCGTGACCAGTTGATCGAGGGCCTGCGATCCCAGGAGCTACGTAAAGAACTTCTCAAAGAGTCAAAGTTGACACTAGCCAATGCTGTGAGCAAAGCTGTGGCACTCGAGTCCTCTATCACGGACAGCAAGCTTTATGGTGACGCTGCAGCTACTCCATTGTCGAATTCATTCTCTCACATTCACCGTGTTTCACACTCCCAGCCTGCCTCTGCGCACAAGAAGTTTGGGAAGTGCAAGTACTGTGGCCGCTCGCATCCAAGAGGCAAGCAGCATTGCCCTGCAGCGGATGCTACTTGTGGCAACTGCTCGAAAGTCGGCCACTTTACAACAGTATGCCTGTCGCGCAAGTCTGATAATGCGCGCATGACATCCGAACAGGTGGAGGAGGATGACGCCAACTATTTCTGTGATTACGCATTCTCAGTGGATACTTCTCAGCACCAGCAATTGTTTCGTAAGACGCTGATCGTCAACGGCCGTCCCTGTGAAGGACTACTGGATACCGGTGCTACCCGATCAGTGCTAACCGATGATGTTGTCCAGCCAACGCGAAAGAGTGATCGAATCTTGAAAGCGTACAATGGCGGCGTCATCTCAACACTCGGTATGGCTGATGTGACGGTCTCTGTTGGATCACGCAGCATCGTATGTAGTTGTTTTGTTGTCCCAGTCGCGTCTGGCCGCCAAATCCTGTATGGCCAGGACGTCATCTCCGAACTGGAGTTGCTGACCTCTGCTGAAGTCAATGTGGTGAACGTGACGCCCATCTCTATCACAGTGGACCCTGACACCACTCCAACAGCACTCCCACCCCGTCGGCACGCTTTCAGCATCCGGGATGAAATTGCCAAGGAGTTGGATCGTCTGGTGAAGCATGACATAATCGAGCCAGTGCGAGAAGCTACTCCGTGGGTCTCACCGTTGGTGCCGGTCAGGAAATCAAGCGGTGCTTTGCGTCTCTGCGTGGACTACCGCGTCCTAAACAAGAGCGTAGTCCGGGAGCGTCACCTACTTCCCACCGTTGACGAAATCAATGCGCAGCTGGACGGTGCAACAGTGTTCTCCGTTCTGGATGCTGAATCTGGCTTTCACCAGCTCCCTTTGGCCGATGAATCTCGTCCGTTCACCACTTTCGCCACTCACAAGGGCCTCTTTAGATTCAAGAGACTCCCGTTTGGCATTGCTTGCGCACCGGAGATATTTCAACGTGTGGTGTCTGACATCCTTGCCGGCCTACCGGGAGTCGTTGTCTATATTGATGACATTCTCATCTATGCCCGCAACCGACAGGAACACGACGAGCGCATGGCTGCCGTACTCCGTCGTTTGAGCGAAGCCAACCTGCGCTTAAACTGGGAGAAGTGTCGCGTACGCCAGTCAGAAATCAAGTACTTGGGACACTGGCTGAGCAAGGATGGTGTGCGTCCTGACGGTGACAAGCTGCTGGCAATCCAACAGTTGCAGCTGCCGCAGACGTTGACAGATGTACGTCGTTTCCTTGGTATGGTGACGTACCTTGGTAAATTCATACCGCAGCTCTCACAGACAACTGAGCCGCTGAGGAAACTGGCTCAGCGACAACCATTCGTCGTTGATGATGAGCTGACGGCCGCGTTCACCGATGCGAAGACAGCCGTGGCCTCGTCGCTAGAGTGCTTAGCGTACTTTAAGCCATCCTTGGACGTCCCAACCAAGGTAACATGTGACGCATCTCCACTTGGTCTGGGTGCTATTCTGTGGCAGCAAGACAAGAGTGGCACTTGGTTACCTGTCACCTGCGCCAGCCGTTCATTGTCCGATGTTGAATCTCGTTATTCCCAGTTGGAGCGCGAGATGCTTGGTATCGTATTCTCTCTGACTCGATTCCGACAGTACGTCCTGGGGAGATCTGTTCAAGTTGTGACCGACCACAAGCCCCTGATCTCAATCGTCCAGAAGCCGTTTGACGAAGTACCACCACGGCTGCAGCGCTGGATGGTCGCTCTCATGCCATACCAGTACACCTTGTCACATGCACCTGGGAAGCAGATGGTGTGTGAAGACACATTGTCAAGAGCGCCTGTCCAAGACTCAACTGCCTCACCAGAAGAAGCCCGCTCTATGGCTGAGTTCATTGGCCTGGTCTTGGAAGAGTGCCCAGTCAATATCGACGATATCGCCAAGGCGACTAGTGATGACCCACTGTTGCGCAGCATACAGCAGCGCGTCTTGATGCAATCATGGTCCCAAGTCACACCCGCTGAAGAGCCATACTACCTTATCCGAGATCAGCTGACGACCATTGACGGCATCCTGCTATTCGGTAACCGCTGTGTAATACCAGAAGCTCTCCGACATGCCGTACTGCAGTTGGCCCATGAAGGTCATCCAGGTCGGGACATATTCAAGGATGCTTTGCGACGACGAGTATGGTGGACCGGCATGTCTAAAGATGCCGACAAGTTCGCCGAGCAGTGTTCAGAGTGTTGGCGCCGTCATACAAACCCCGCACAAGAGCTGCTGCCATCAGAAATTGAAGGAGTGTGGCAGAAACTGGCGGTTGATCTGGTGTGTATCGAGGGTCAACAAGTATTATCCATCGTCGACTACGGTTCACGCTATCCGGAGCTACTTCCCTTGTCAGCTACCACAACCGCAGCTGTCATTGACCGGCTGATGGAAGTGTTCGCGAGGTTCGGCCTGCCTAGCGTGTTGGTGTCCGACAATGGCCCCCAGTTTGCCTCAGCCGAAATGGCCCAGTTCCTGCAGCGGTTGGGTATCCAGCACAATCGATCAAGCCCACGCTACCCCAGATCTAATGGCATGGTGGAACGTCTTCATCGAGTCGTCAAAGAGAGAATTCAATCTCTACGACCGTCCCTGTCTTTGCAACGCCGTTTGCAACAAGTTCTCTTTGATATTCGCAACTCAGTGCACCGAATGCTGGGCATGTCACCCAATGAGGCTTTCTTCGGTCGCATGGTTCGCACCCGTCTACCTCACCATTCTACCCCACGCATTGTGAATGCTTCTCATCAGATTCGCGCCAAAGCTGACATGGCAGTCTCGCATGATAGTCGCCGCGGTGTCCGCCAGTTGCCTATGCTGCGTCCTGGCACAATGGTAGTCTTGCAGGATGGCTATTCCGACCCAACTACCCCTTGGCGTGTTGTGGAGCAATATGGCAGACAAGTCGGCGTCACTGATGGCAGGCGGATACTGCTCCGAAATCGGCAGCATGTGCGAGAACATGCTTCACCTGCATCATCAACTGCCACCTCTTCTCGGTCTTTGGATCTCCAGCCAGTTCCGACGCCAGATCCCCAGCCAGCTACCGAGTCAGAAGTGAAATCCTCGGCACCTAATGCAGATGTGCCGCCTGCTACGCCTACTGCTCCGTGTGAAGCAGGAGTGGAATCTGAGATCAAAGAGGCTGATGCTCAGATTCATCCCGAGTCCAGTGACCAATCACGTCGTCAATCACGCCTACCACGGCCCGATGCCCAGTCTGGCTCGCTCTATCGCGAGGGCTATGTAACCCGCGCTGGCCGCACTGTCAAGCTCACTGAGAAAGCTGCTGGTGCATTGATGTAATATCTCCATTTTTGACTGACCATGTTGCATAACTATGCCAATTTGCAATTTAGTTGCTGGTTTGGTTTGTTCTGTTTGTATCGTGGTACAGGTTTGATGTATCTTCAGTGAGTTGACCCGTCAGTGTCAGGGTGTATCGAATTTGTTGCTTTGAATTGATTCTTTGCTCGTTTCCTCTGCAATTTTATTGTTCTTTTCTTGTCTGCAATTTTCTCCTTTTTTCTTTTTCCTTTTTTTTCTCTCCTTTTTTTTTTTTCTCAAACAGGTTTGCATTTGCAGACAATTTTTTTTCTTAGGGAAGGGGGGTAATGTGGTAGTCATGCATTGTACATCACGGCTGTAGTACTGATGTGCACAGTCATGGTAACAGTGCATTGCGTAATGCTCTTGGCCATATGCTGCTGTTGAGCTGGTTTTACAGATGAAGAATCTGAGAGACACAATGGCTAGTTGTCTATTCTTTCCGTGTGCTTAGTCTGGCTTCTTGCATGCCTACACAGACTTTCAACCCGGGGTTGAAAGTTCTCATGTTAACACAGCCTTCAGCATGCTTTACTGTATGTGCACAAGGCCCGGTATCGCGGTGTGGTGGGCACTCTCTCTCGTGCAGCCATGACTCACTTCAAGTTTGCACGTTGTCTTCATCATGCTTACAACTTACTAGTGGTGCTTTGTTTGTACTCTATTTGCAAACAGCACCGCCAGCACCCATGTTCATGGTTTCAACATCAACAACATGGATATCTGTGACTTTCACCAAACTGACTGGACAATTCTATGTTGCAAATTACTGCTGTGACTTCACGCAACTTTCCGTGTCCGGAACTGATTCAAAGAAAGGAACCATACGTCTTTGCAGCGACACCATATACCTCAATCTGACTGGAACTGAAGAAGATGCCACGTATAGCCTGACAGCGTTTGCCAACAATACAGAAGGGCATATTGGCGAGAATGCTACAATGAACAATGTGATAACTAAACCAGCAGGTACTCGATATTCAAATAATCTACGTGGAGATAAAAGTTTAATAATAGCAATGAAAAGTATGAATGCCGCAGACATCACCACGCAACATGACAATTTGTTCAAGGTTTGGTTTTGTGTGTTTCCAAAATCGATTTTCACGTTCCGATCATCAGTGGAAATACGGAACTAAAGAGAACAAGGGGAAAACAAAGGTTAAAAATCCAAAGAAGTGTGACACACGACGGGTAACTTGTGGTAAGTATTACAAAAAGTGAGAACTAAAATAAAGAGTAAGTGTGACAAACGGGCATGAACAGTGCAGAAACAACTCATGAACACGGGGTGCAAACTCACGAAAATAACCTAAGTGCTAAAACATGTTCTTTTTGCTTACACAAATCGGGCTTATGCGTACGAATACAAACAGCTTCAAGGACCTTCAACTGCTGGACATAACGGGCACGGCACAGTACAGAGAAGTGGGAATCATCATACACACTCAAACAATCGGGACGAGATAACAAATGCAAATACACAGCTGACTTCTTACGAATTTCACCCTCATCAGCTCCATCACCTTCCCTGCCACCTGACTCCTCCTCGTCCGTTTTATCACCATCACCACCAGCCGTCTCACCGTCATCCGCCTCATCTTCATCCGCCGCCTCGTCATCACCCGCCTCGTCGTCATCTGTATCCTCGCCGTCATCCGCCTCGTCGTCATCTGTATTCTCGTCATCCGCCGCATCATCACCCAACTCATATTCACCACCAGTCAGTCGTCTGATACCATCCATGTTCTCCTTCCTACGTCTGTCCCGTGTCACTGTCTTTACCTCATCTACGTCCCGAGATTGTGTTCCGTTTTGCCCCCGGCTTCCGGTCTCCTTCGATGCTCCGCGTGGGCCTTGGCCATTCCTAGCATATATTTCGGTTGAATAATTGGCGGTCGACCTCCGTGGTCTCTGGACCCACGGATCAATCGCCGGAGGGTGCTGCGGTGTCCGCACAGCCGGATACTGTGTCAAAGAAATGGGCTCAATTTCTGTGATTGGCGGTACTGTTGTTGTTGCCGACTCCTCCCCAACCCCAGCCACCAACGGCACTGGTGGTGGCTCCGGTGGCGGCACAAACATACTTTGCGGCGCACTTCATCCCTGTGTTCACTACGATACGTGCGTTCACGGTGAGGAAGGATGTCCTACCATCCCACCTATTGAGCCACTTGGTCTACCAATTTGAGTGCCGGAATTGTGATAGCCGGTACGTTGGTAGGACCCTTCAACACCTGAGCGCACGTATCAAGCAGCATGTACCACTTCACATGCTGCCGGACGCAGCAAAAGCGAAGCGCCCGAAGCGGGGAAGACCACGCAAGAACCCGCTCCCTCTACCACCGACACAACCAGAGCAAGTCGAACACACGGTGCAAAGGAAGAGTGGTGGATCACTAAGCCAACCGAATGTGCCTTCTCCACCGTTGCCCTTGCCGCCACCGGAGCCACCACCAGTGGCGGAAACAGAAAGTCGAGCTGCCCTTGCCGCCACCGGAGCCACCACCAGTGGCGGAAACAGAAAGTCGAGCTGTCGAAGAAGAAAGTCGCATCCAAATCGCTACATGCTGGACCCGAGCCACGATGGAATGAACTTGAGCGTAAGGTTTTCGAATGGATCGAGAAAAATCGAGAAGATGGGATTGGATTGAGTGGCACAATGATTCGCCTAAAAGCGAAAGTCTTCGCAAAGGAGATGAACGCCGTAAGTTTCAACGCAACTGTTAGTTGGTGCTATCGTTTCATGAAGCGACATAGCCTTGTTATCCGGGTGAAGACTCACCTGTGCCAGCGACTGCCGGACGAGTTTGAGGAGAAGATTCTGTCCTTTCAGCGCAACGTCATCAGGTTGAGAGAACAGAACAAGTATCCGCTAGATCAGATTGGCAATATGGATGAAACACCTCTGAACTTCGACATGCCCTTGTCCCGCACTATCGACAAAATTGGAGCGAAGGCTATTCACATCAAAACGACAGGGCACGAACGAGAGCACTTTACTGTGGCTTTAGCATGCCTTGCCAATGGGACAAAGTTACGGCCATTTGTCATTTTCAAGCGAAAGACTATGCCAAAGGATGCAGTGCCGCCTGATATCATTGTCCACGTTCACCCCAAAGGCTGGATGGATGAAGCTGGAATGCATATGTGGCTGGATAAGGTTTGGTGTGCAAGGCAAGGTGGCCGTAGGAGCACCCCTGTTCGAAGCTGCCTTGTCTTTGACTCGTTTCGTGCACATCTAGTAGAGAACTTCAAAAGACGTGCTCGTGAAACAAGGACCGACCTTGCTGTTATCCCTGGTGGTCTGACATCCCAGCTTCAGCCACTTGATGTGTGCCTCAACAAGCCATTCAAGTGCCACATCAGGCAGCACTGGACAGACTGGATCATTGGTGGAAACCATGAGTTTACACCAACAGGCCGTATGAAGAAGCCATCAATTTCCAAAGTATGCAAATGGGTGGATGAGTCATGGAAGACCATCCCAACTACAATGGTCGCCAAATCATTCAAAAAGTGCTCAATTTCAAATGCACTGGACGGCACTGAAGATGTCGAAAGATTAGGATTCCCAATCTCTCGATTTATCAACACAGGTCACAAGTCCGATCTCACCTCTACCGGTGGCACACATCATAGGACAAAGGAGTCTGTAGTAATCGCTCTTTCCAGAATAATGCTAGAGAACAACAAAACTGAAAAACCACTCGTGTCCAAGAAGAGCCGCATAACCCACCACCGTGGGAGAAGAAAAAACACATTCCCAAAAGCGCGTCAAACTGTGCTGCATGCACGTGCCTTGACAAGTACATGTACAGTCATGCATACGTGGGCCAGAACAAGTCATACAAAGCACGGGAACGTGGGCATGGAACTAGCGTTTTGTACTGAAACAAGAACAGGCACAAACATGATACAAATCGCGCGACAAGGTCGCCGCGACAGAAGATGACATGATCTTTGAGGACCACAATGATTCAGACTCCGGCAACAATGAAGACGGCGACGGCATCGCTGCAGAGGTAGCTTTGATCAACATCAGTGGCAGCGAGACTGAAGATAGTGCAGATGACATGGAGTGATCTGTAGTCAACACAGCAATACACCAACATCTCTGCAGCAACCTGTGGTGCACTTACACTTCATAATCTGATCTAACATGGTATTTAGCTCCATAACCATAATAAATTTGTAGAAAGGCCATTTGTCAATGAGTGTGAAAAATCTTGGTTTGTGGATGCGGCTTATACTCCGAATACCAACTATTAGTTAATATTTTTCCTCAAAAAGGGGGGTGCGGCTTATACCCCGGTGCGGCTTATACCCCGGAAAATACGGTATATTATTATTATTATATGCATTTCCGCGGCAATGTCACCCGAACAATGGCAACCCACATATTCGCATATGCCGGAAATAGAATGCTCTGCCAAAACCATAAATCAAATGACATCATAATATATATCCGTTCTGTGTAAACCAGTCAAGAGAAACATACGACGGCACAGAGTCCTCTCCACCCTGCACGGTCCCTTGCCAGGATCCGTAGGCGCTGCAAGTCACCAAGCGACACAAGCCTTCCATTATCCGCTTTCGCCAGGTTTCCCGACAGCTTCGTGACAATTGTGACACGTGGGCGTCCTCGCCAGGTCTTCTCATCGTGCGTGAAATACGCCGCCATTGCCAATGATGCTGGGGTGTCCTCTGGCAAGCGGAGAATGTGACCAAAGAGTTAGTAGTAGTAGTAGTCTTTTATTTTCCATCGGAAGCCTCAACAGTGATGAACACAACTCTTAAGAGGGCCGATAACAGAGTAGAGGGGTGTGGGGTGAGAAAAAATAATAATAATAAGAGATATTTAAACTAAACTAAACTGATACTTGGAACAATAAAGCAGCAGTAAGCAGTAAGCAGTAAACACAGGTATACAATACAAGAGTTGCCACCGCAGACGCTTGAGAATGTTGGTGATTTGCTCAGCTTTGCACCTGGCGTACAAAGAGACATTCGTCATCTTCTGACGCCAACTAATGCCAAGTAGTGATCGCAGTTGCTGACGGTGGGAGGAATCGAGACTCTGCTCCAAAGCCACCTTCAAGCCCCATGTTCCGCCGTCAGTGTAGGTCAGTACTGGTATGAAAAACGCCTGATAGAGCCTCTGGCGCATCTTCTCACTGATAAGCTCTCGTCAACACCACACAGCAAAGAGTGACCTGAAAGCAGCTGTTGTGAGCTGCTTCCTTCTGATCACGTCTTGTTCATCACCCAGAAGTGACCCAAGCTTACGTGTCTTTCTCCAGACTTCCGCTAGACGATCCCCTTCTCTGCGTAGTGTTTTTTGCTCAGTTTTCTCTTCGTTCACTTTGAGATGCCATTCTCTGAGGACCTCAGTTATGCTTGGGCTGATACTATCCAACCATGTCCGTGAGCTGCTCAGAAAATCCGTATCATCAGTATAGATAACTTCCCCAGGCAAGAGTTCATCAGCTGGCAGCCTGGGAGGTAACGTGGCCTTGAGATCACGTAGCGCTGATTCCCAGTAAATGACTCCATCTGCATCCCCTTTGTACAACATTCTTTCCCACTACAATCTCTGCAATTATGTTACATCTCCAACACGGGTCACGGCAACATCATCCACGATGCTAGATTTGTTCCTTTCAACCTCCCGATTGGATGGTACCTGTGAAGCAATACACTTAGACATAAGTGATCACTTTGTTGTGCTGGCCCGGCTGAACATTCACACACACCAGCACGTGTCATCGTCAGTGAAAACCACCAGACGTCTCCATCGAGTAAACTGGGACAGTTTCAGTATCGACCTCCAGAGGAAACAGCAGCAAGACTTTGATGCCCACAGCAATATCCATGATATGGTTCATTCTTTCACTTCTTCTATCATGTCCACACTAGACCAGTATGCACCATTGGTACCCCAGCGTAAACGCGCACGCCGCCCGTGCCCCTGGCTGACTGATGAGCTTGTGGGTGCAGTTCGTAAACGTAATCATTTACACCGGCTCCTCATGAGAGATCAAGCGAATGTACAATTGCGTGATCAGCATAGAGAAGCTCGGGCCATGGCCCGTCGACTCGACAGGAAGCTGCGCAACCAGTTCTTCACTGAACAATGCCGAACGAGTGACCAGCGCAAACTGTGGAGAGTGTTGAATGTTGTAACTGGTCGTCAAAAGAAAGCCCAGGTCCCACAGGCATCCCTACAGGATCTCAGTGAAACATGTGGTAGTGTCGTACATGACCCAGCGCGTCCCGCCACTCTTCAAGCTCCCTTGGGACCAACCCAACAATGTGGTTTCTCTGCTTTCCAGCCAGTCGCAGTTTCTGCCGTCGAGTCCTGCTTGAGTTCTGTGGACCCAAGTAAGGCGACTGGCAGTGATGGTGTGCCTGGCCTACTTCTACACAAGTTCTCCTCAATATTGGCACCCAATCTCACCAAAATTATCAACTATTCGCTCAGAACAGGCCAACTTCCTTCCACCTTCAAATCCTCACATGTCACCCCTCTGTTTAAGGGTGGCGACCCAACCTCACCTACAAACTACCGCCCAGTTTCCCTGCTACCCATCATCTCCCGTATTCTGGAGGCATTTGTAAAGAAACAGCTCACCACCTATCTCGAATCAGCCCACCTTCTACCCACCAGCCAATTTGCCTATCGTAAACAACACTCCACAGAGGATGCACTTGCCCTCGCAGTCAACAGATGGTCTCTAGCCAAATCTCGACGAGAGTACACCGGAGTTGTGTTCGTAGATATGTCGAAAGCGTTTGATCGCGTTCAGCACGAGCGTCTTCTGACTGAACTCTTCTCTTTTGGCATATCTGGTACTCCACTCACTTGGTTTGCTGATTACCTCTCAGGCCGCTTCCAGCAGATCAGAGTTCAAGGACATCTCTCTCCTGCCGTTTCTTGTTCTCGTGGTGTCCCACAGGGCAGCGTTCTTGGTCCCCTGCTATTTGTCTTGTACACTAGCACATTGAGCACGATCCTGCCACCGGCGGTAAACCACCAAGAATTTGCGGATGACATTACTCTCGACTGCTCAGACACCGACCCCACTGAAGTATGCCGAACCCTCAGCCACGCAATCACAAGCCTCGCCACGTGGCTAGAAGATATTGGTTTGCTGCTGAATGCAGCAAAAACTCAGCTTCTCTTCATAAAGCCCCGTGGCGCAGATGACACACAGCCTGAGGTGTTCTGCCATGCTGACAAACTCGCTATCACACCTTCGGCTAAGTATCTCGGGGTAATACTCGATGAGGAGCTGTCCTGGAAGCCCCACATTGCACACCTGAGCCGCAAGACTGCTAGGACCATTGGCCAGCTCTGGAGGCATGGCCAAGGACTCAGTTTGCGCGCCAGACGCACTTGGTTCCTCAGCATGGTCCTCTCTCAGCTATGCTATGGTTCTAATAGTTTTGTTCCTGGGCTTTCTGCCCAGTTGCTTGGACGTCTGGAGAAGAGTTTCAAAGCCGGCATTCGCGCAACCTTGCAACAGCGCTTTCTCACCCCCACCGCACCGCTTCTGGCACTTCTTAGTATAGTCAGCCTGGCACACACATACACTCAGAAAGTTCTAATCTTTGTACACCGCTGTATCAATGGATACTGTAGCCCACTCCTACAGCAACTCTTTACAACGACTGCTCCAAACACCGTGCTAAACGATCAGCGCATCACTAGGGGCCAAGTTTCCAACTTGCTCCAAGTCCCTTTCCTTCGCGGGCCTGCTGGTCGCTCGAGTATGATGTTTCACGGCAGTATTGCATGGAACGCCCTCTCGGCTGATGTAAGATCGATAACTGCTGCCGATCAATTCAAGAGAGCCCTATCTGATATTGACGTACTTAACTTGTAAACTCTATGCCAACAGTCCAACACCCCTCGCCGTACTTCATGTTCCCTGGACTGCTAAAAAGTGTCCCCATCCAACTAAGTCTGCCAATGTTCACACATATATTCTCATGAAATGCTTCCACTACATTTTATTTGTTATCACATTATAAAAAAATTCACACAAATTGAGTGTCAGCATACACACAATGTCATAACAAACATTTCTATAATAATAATCGTACCGCTTGCATGTCTTTATCTCTATACATTTCCTCATATAATTTTCTTCATCTTTCTGTGAGAACCGGACCTATAGGCCGGTAAGAAGGCAATCATGCCTGTGCAATTGGTGAAGTAAAATAAAAGTCAACAACAACAACAACAACAAAAAGAACTAGAGATAGGCAGTCGCCCTGTGGGGTGCCGATCGTGGTCTCAAGCTCCAGCTATAGCTAAACCAGCTATAGCCCTATGTATTTCTATCAAGATGGTAGAACTTTTCTTAGTGGGAAAGGCCCTGGTACAACCTTCATAGTATGTGGGACTGAGTTTTTGCCGTTATTAAACCGATATCACGTACAGGTGGAATTACCCCTTGCCTGCCATACTGCTACTTCTTGTACTGATGTTGTGCCTGGAGGTAGGATCTGTATTCAAGTTTCATATAATCTGTGGGGAGCTTTACCAGAGAATACTGAACACTAGACTTGGGTGGAGACAAACCACGACATGTTACTGTTATAAGGGTAGAGTTCGACTGTATTTTGATCGTGGTTCGAATGCCACGGTGTATACGAGACGCGAACGGTAGCAGCCGAAAAAACTAAGAAACATTTCTGGACACTCCTGGACGACTATTGCATATTTTTCTTCTCCACCACTGCTTGTTCATGTTTGCATTGCTCCACAAACACTTTGAAGACAACATTATTCATTATCATATTGCATCTTCCTTTCATAAAAACCGCTTGCTTGAGCTGAGCGCCAGTTAAGTGTACCTTTGTCAAGTATCGTGCAGTGTTATCGCATGATCTGATTGTAAAGTAACTGGTGATGTCAGTGTATATTATAGCATAACTTGCAGCTCTTTGCTCCTCTTTTCTTCTTATGAAGACTGCATGAGTAATGTCGCTTTAAAAGGTCGTTTTATAGGGAACTTGCTGGTTCCACTCCACAAAATGCAGACACCGTTTGGGTACCAATTTAGGGTTGGCCATTATTGCACGCATATCGGGCCCTGCGAGTATATATCCCTGTTTTACCATGTTGCTATGTACTGTTTATACTGCTATACTATAATTAATAATTATGTTCTGCAGCTCCAGATGATCCCCCGGGAGCACTGCCCGTCGGATCAAAAACACCAACATCTATCTATTTTACCTGGATGCCAGTTAATAATCTGCGTCTGAACGGGAAATTACTCAGTTACAGTGTGAAATATACAGAATCTGAAGAAATGGTCGTAACCATTTTGAATGTGACTCACTTGGAGGAAGCTAACATAACTGGCTTGTACCCGGGGTATACGTACAGCATCGAGGTAGCAGCAATCTCAACTGGTGGTATTGGCCCATACACACATCCGGTGAACGCCACCACCTCACAAGAATGTAAGTCCTGACTGTGAAGTCAGCACTGACCAACAAGAAATGATAGGTCACGGGTATAGCCAGAAATCAACACCACAGTATAAAAAAACTAGTTTACTGGCACTCCTGCACACCTTCAAGTACACACGTGCACACATATGCACACCTATACACACGAGTCATTTGCACACATGCATGCACAAACGCACACACAGACACACATGCACGGACACACACATACTGTGTTATCTCCATTATAAGCCCGCGCCTATATTTTTTCAACCAGTCCGGATTAGAGACTGGGCTTCTACTAGAGACTGGGCTTATAGTGTTTCTACCACCTGGTACATGTACATATAAATTACCTATTATTTTTCATTGCATCAGTAGCACAAAGTTTCCTAGCAGGTACCGAGACTGCAGTTTTGTGCTTCCAGGTACACTCAGTCTGAACATTAGATTTCAGGGATCACAGACCTTTACCACAGCATGTGTTTATGTGATACTGTGTGATGTCAAACATGCATGGACATGATCCATACAGTTCTCCTTTATAAGCCCTGCGCTTGTACATCTTCGAAGCCCTCTTGGAGTGCGCTTATAATAGAGACTGGGCTTCTACAAGAGACTGAGTTAATAGAGATAATACGGTCCACGCATACAGTACATACACACATAATATACACACATACATACATAATACACACATAATATACACACGCCTCTTGTATGGATACATACAGTACATTCACACATACACACATACACACATACACATATACACACATACGCACATACACACATAATATACACACACACACGCCTCTTGTATGGATACATACAGTACATGTACGCATACGAGTACAGTCTACTCGCGATAAGTCATGAAATTTTAAGTCACGCTCTCGAGACAAATCACGCACTTTTGCAATTTGGACGGCATATATGTTTTATATACGTATACCATTGTGCAAGTCGCGCACTCGCGATAAGTCACGCATTTCTTGTCTTCAAGATAGGGTGCGCGGCTTAATGCGAGTAGACTGTACCTGCACATACATGTACCTACGTATACACACATAAGTATACACATATACGTATACACACATGCATAGTTAGGGGTGAAACGAGTATCTATTTTGACCAACCGATCACTCGTTCATAATATTCGATCGAGTATCCGATTAGTATTTTATCAAAATTCAAAAGCGCTAGATTTGCAAGTTCTCGACCAATTCGGAAGAAATTATCTGTGAACATAGAACAAAAGTCGCCAACGTCTTGTACAGAGTGTAAAGTAACGATTTTCATCAGTACTTTCATATCTCAGAACGTTACTTGCCGTGGTGATCGCATCGTCCAAGTCTTAAAATACTGACTCAAAGCCATGCATAACGCATGCATACCAGTGGACCAGCGGTACAACAAAAGTTTTTTAAAAAACAATGCCAATCCTAAAAATAAAAAAAATAAAAAAAATAAATAAAAAACGATCGAGTGCAAAATTTCGAATACTCGCTCGTTTGAAATTTTCGAACGAATACTCGAATATTCGAACTAATCGTTTCACCCCTAATGCATACATATAATTATACACACACACACATGCATACATATAATTACACACACATGCATACAAATCCGTTGATCCCCGAGCTGCAGAGAGTGCTCAATGTCAGAGACAGAGCTTAGTAAATAGCAGACTCAGCGGAGGACGTTCAGGTTGGTTGTAACTCTGAGTTTCATGCCGTTAGGCAACCATCAGACAACTGATACTCGGGTCTACCCAACAGTATTCTTATAAACACATAGGGCCACAAGCATAAACAAATTTAGCGCTAAATCTGGTGTGAGGTATGGGGAGAAAACTGTACACTGCCTCCCCATCGCTTCTTCCCGCGCTTTCATGCTCACACCTGCCTGTTGCCCGCCACCCTCCTGGCACTTCTACTGTCGTGCCTTGGCCCGCGCCAGCTTTCTCCCCATACCTCACACCAGATTTAGCGCTAAATTAGTTTATGCTTGTGGCCCTATGTGATTATAAGCATACTGTTGGGTAGACCCGAGTATCAGTTGTCTGATGATTGCCTAACGGCATGAAACTCAGAGTTACAACCAACCTGAACGTCCTCCGCTGAGTTTGCTATGTACACACATGCATACATATAATTATACTTCTTCCGTATACAAAAACTTCGTGACTTTTTTTAAGGCTGTGCATAGTTCTGGAATTGTTCCGTTTGACTTGGAATAACACTCGTGGCATTGTCTAACCTGTTTACAAGCTATATACAAAAAAAAAGCAACTCAGACGAATGAGATTGAGTTTATTCAGAGTCTTCGTCGCTCCTGTCATTGTCACCTGACGACACTGACACCGCATCGCCAAAAGTCGCTGCTTCCGCTCGCAATTCGTTCAGATTCTTTTCAGCTGCAATGATGATCCGACGCGGGACTTTGGCTAGCGTACTCTTTGTAGTGGTTCTACAAACGCACCAAAGACATCTTGTAACTAGCTTCGTTACTACAAATCACAAGTGTGTGGGAATACAGAGAACGACAGAGAGATCAAAGGAAAAGCCAGGCAGGCAAGTACAGCTAAAGTGCGTACGGTACAACTGGCATGTCGCACAGCGCGGCCGGATGAATGCATACATGTTACATAAAAGGATACAATGACAAACAGTGGGATGTGCATCCACTACATCTCCCCTCTGAGATTAAACAGGCTATAATAGAGAAGATGAGGAGTCCAAAGACTATTCGATAATGTAGGTATTGTTTGTAGAGCAAGTTGCAGTGAAAGAGTGATGTGCAGAGACGACGGCAGATACGTCTCGGCACGTTGCTGAATTAGCATGATTCAATGAGGCGGTTGACAGGCTGAGGAGCTCTAGCAGAGCGACGGACTGGATCAGCTGCTGTGCCACCGTACTCAACCTCGACTGTCGGCTTCTCTGCTTCTAGCAGTGGCAGTCGGATCAAGTGACGACGATTGCGGCGAACAGTAGAGTGACCAGACTCAACGAGGTAAGAACGATTGGACACTTGCTCTACTATCTTGCCCTCCCGTTCGAGATCGGTGATGAATACACGGTCATGAAGCTGTAGAGTCGCGAGAGGCTTAGCTGCATGCCGTTGGTCGTAGTGCAACTTCTGCTGTTCCTGGGACTGAGTTTCCGATTCCAGAATACTAGGGAGATCTGGCCATTTCGGTTCCAGCTGTTCAGTCGTTGCAGGTAGACCGGTACGGAGCTGGCGGCCATACAACAGCTGACATGGAGCATAGCCGTTGCTCAGCGGTGTCGTGCGGTAAGCCAAGAGTGCATCTTGCAGGCTTTCGGCCTTCCGCAGGAGATTCTTGGCGGTGCGAACTGCACGTTCCGCTTCGCCATTCGACTGAGGATACCGTGGACTGGAAGTGCGATGGGTGATGTCGTTTGCTGTGCAGAACTCAGTAAACGCTTCGCTGGCAAACTGAGGACCGTTGTCTGTAACCAAGGTGGACGGGAAACCATGCTCGGCACAGATGCGGTGCAGATGCTTGATGACAGCAATCGAGGTTGTGGCAGTCAGCGGTACGACATCGAGGTAACGCGAGAGATAGTCAACAATGACGAGGTAAGTCGTGCCGTTGAATTCCATCAGATCTGCACCAACCGTGTGCCACGGCAGTGTTGGGCGTTGGACGGGTTGCAGTGGTTCGGTCGACTGGACGCGGTGTTTGGTGCACACTTCACACGTAGCAACCATCGTGTCGATTTGCCTTGACAAGCCTGGCCACCAAATGGAATGGCGGGCGCGAGACTTGCACTTCGTTGCACCTTGATGTCCCTCGTGGAGCTTCTCGAGCATCTCAGGCTGCAGAGAGGGTGGCATGACAATGCGGAAGCCATGGTACAGCACACCTTGCTCACAGGACAGTAACTGGCGTTCATGGAAGTATGGGCGCACAGTGTCGTCGACATCACGTGGGTTGCACGGCCATCCGTGTTGGACGAAGTGGAGGACTTGCTTGAGCGTCTCATCTTGTGTGGTGGCGTCAGCAATGTCACGGGCTTTACCATCCGACACGATCTCGCCGATGTAAGATGCGAGGTTGACGCTGATCTCGTCTTGGAGACGGCTGGATTGTACGTGAGCAGGCGCATCGAATCCCACTTCTGACACCATGTAGTGGTTCTACAAACGCACCAAAGACATCTTGTAACTAGCTTCGTTACTACAAATCACAAGTGTGTGGGAATACAGAGAACGACAGAGAGATCAAAGGAAAAGCCAGGCAGGCAAGTACAGCTAAAGTGCGTACGGTACAACTGGCATGTCGCACAGCGCGGCCGGATGAATGCATACATGTTACATAAAAGGATACAATGACAAACAGTGGGATGTGCATCCACTACACTCTTCATTTCCAGAGCTGTGTACGAATCGATGTCGACTATATTCAGTCGTTCCAACCCGCGACCTCCATTATGCCGTGAAACGAGTCGCTCAAGCACATCCACACGCTTCGCATTTTCTCGGCAGGAGAATCCTCCCAGCATTCTACAACGGCTTCGACGAGGTCCCTGCGATTCCCCTAGGCCACAACGGAGACGTCCGACTGGAGTAGAGAGAGGCGAAGAAAGCCAGGTCGTCGACATTCCGATCCGGAGTCTGCGCTGGTTGCACAACGACTCAAATGTTTCATCTTTCCGTGCGAGCTGAACCGATTTATGTTGTCACGCTGCGTATGGGGCCGCGCACCGCAAGTACGAGCCTGGCCAGTTTCAGGGCAGCGAGTGCCGCGTGAGTCGTGACTCCGTGCTCCAGGCGCGAGCTCCACTTCGTCACAGTGTCAGTTTCGAGCAAGTTAGTGCTATTTTTTTGTCATTTGACTCGTGAGTTCCTGTCGGCAACGTCCTCGCACGCATGGCTTCCGTAGAGAATCTGTTCGAGATCAACCAAACCTACATCACATGAATGTGGGCTGTCTATGACAGCCTTTGGTGCGGTTCGTTGAGCAGGTTCTTGCTCAAAAACACCGTTGAAAAAAAGTCACGAAGTTTTTGTATACGGAGGAAGTACACACACACGCACACACATGCATACGCACACACACACACACACACACACACACACACACACACACACACACACACACACACACACACACACACACACACACCTTTGACCTTTGACGCCCCATCTCCAGTGGAGATGATAGGCTACTGAGTTGGGCAGTACTTGATGTGACGCTTCAAATCGCCACTTCTCCTAAACGCTCTGCCGCATGCGCAGTGAAAGTCCTTCGGTGCCGGGGGAGGAAGACGATGTTGATGGACCCACCTGCGCCATTCCGGGCGATCTTGCGCGAGCCGATACCACTCGGACTCCGGAATATCCAGTGAGCGCAGATCACCGACAATCGTGTCTCGCCAACGCTTCTTTGGCCCATGCCGTGGTCTGGTTGCCTCGAGCTCCCCAAACAACACTTGTTGAGGAATCCGTGCCGCGTCCATACGGGCAACATGACCCAGCCAACGCAGACGGTACTCACGCAGGAGAGTGCCAATGTCTTCAGGAAGACGCGCTCTCTGGGCTAGATCACACACACACACACACACACACACACACACACACACACACACACACACACACACACACACACACACACACACACACACACACACACACACTACTGTACTGTACTGTACTGTACTGTACTTGCTCACTGCCAAAACTAGTCACCTGGGTCACCCCGGGAGAGGGGAGAGAGGTTGGAAGATTGTTGGTTTGCGCATTGGAGAAGTGTTGGAGCTAGGTGTCAGGTCGCCAAATGTCTCCGTACTCCTTTGTCAGTTTTGGGCCATTTTGTCGCACTCGCTGACTGTATAAGATCTGGTTACGTTGGTGGACACTTAGTCATAACTCGTAACATTTTGTCCTCCTTTTTCACTCTAAAAAATAATAATAACTGCATTTACCCCTGCCCCAGTGAAGGTAATGCTTGCTACTAGTGTGGGTGGCTCAATCAGAGTTCAGTGCTGCCAACCTGCTCGGTCTGATTTGCGTACTCGGGCGGCTGAATTTCCGTATTTTCCAGAGTTTTTGCGTGCTACCAAATTGTTTTAATCCCACGATTTATAATGTATTTTTGCGAAAAGAATGAATATTTAAAGGGGAAGTAAAGGCTGAAATCAAATTTTCACCAGTTTAGTTGTAGTCATCAGGGTGCTGAGTCGAATGGAATACTGTTTTAGCGTGTACTTGGCAATTTTATGTGCTCTGCATACACAGATACATGCACAGGTAAAGTATGTAGTCATGTGTAAAACTGGTTCATAGTCAGCAGATCCATACTTCTCAGTTTTCCCGTACAATTTCGGTCAATTTCCGTACAAATACGGAAAATTTGGCAGCACTGAGAGTTGGTCTGATATAAGCTTCACTAGCACCATTGATTACACAAGAGTTAATCTAGCCAGAAGTAGTCCATGGTTAACAGGCATGTATACTTCAAAAAGAAAATATCTGAACCCTGGAACAAACAAAGGTTGCAGGTACAGGTGTAGGAGTTGCATTTTAATAGAAAGTATATTTTTCGCAGTAAAAGAGTATTTATTTGTAGAGCTTGTGTTGATACAGATTCCTAGGTTCAAACCCCAAGATGGGCAGTTAGTTACATTTTTTTCTCTCCTTGCGTATTTTGTATCTGCATGTTATTACCCTTTCCGACAGTCGCTCGTGAGTAATGTATGAGTCGTGTATGGCTAAACCCGTATTTACCCGTATGACTGCTGCTAGTGTTATTGTTCTAGAACATTAGCATAATTTAACCAATCACAGTTCACAGCTCTGGAATATTCTAGAATTTCGTCGGCGACCGGTTTATATAGATTGCTCATTGGTTGATGACCTAAAGAACATGGCTGCCGTTCGCCGTGTGTTTTGTCTTCTTGCATTGTTCTTATCTTGTGCTTTTTCACTTCTTATCTTTACTTGCCGAGTGTGCAACTAATAATTCTGTCCTAACGAGTATTCGTGAAACCACAAAGTGAGTGCTTTGTTTGAGTGTGTGAAATTGTCTCCGACGGCCAGCTATTGCATTGGTGGCAGCGGTGGGATTCGAACCCACGCCTCCGGCGAGACTGGAGGGGCCAGCTATTACACAGGCACACATACGCACACATACACATTGAAGAAGTCATTTACCGTAAAAGTTCGTAGATAAGTACCTGCCCAAAATAAATACCCCCTTCATCCTTTTGATTCTGTCTGTTGAAGTCTAGTTCAGCCCGATAAACATACTGCCCAAAATAAGTACCGGTATGGTTCACAGATGCAGCGCTTAGCATGTACATTTTCTTTTTATGAAAATTACTTCTCCACTACACACAAGTCGGGTCCGAAAGTTAGTTCGTGCCCGAAAGTTAGTACCCGCCCGAAAGTTAGTACCCGCCCAAAAGTTAGTACCCGCCTGAAAGTACCCGCCCGAAAGTTAGTACCTGCCCGAAAGTTAGTACCCACCCGAAAGTTAGTACCCACCCGAAAGTTAGTACCCACCCAAAAGTTAGTACCCACCCGAAAGTTAGTACCCACCCGAAAGTTAGTACCCACCCGAAAGTTAGAACCCACCCGAAAGTTAGTACCCACCCGAAAGTTAGTACGGGTGCGACCACTAAATTCGAAAGTAAGTACAGGTAGACTCCCTCTAATTCGAGTACGGTATAATTCGAACATTCCGTGTAATTCGAACTTTTTCTTCGTACCGATCTCCTGCAAGTCACTTCAAGTCGAATTCGAATGCGTCATTCGAAGGACGAAACGTGCGCCGATTGGAAAATTCAAACTCAGTCTTCGTACAGAAGAGTAGTTTGCAGTACAGTGACTATGTCCTTGGAACGCTTATTTCGAAGTGAGATGGAGGTATTATACAGTCTGTATCGGCTATAGAGTGACCGGATATAAGAATATATCGGCTACAGTGATATTGGTACGAAATATCAAAAGCAAAACGTATTTTATCCTGTACAAATATCACTATAACCAATATTATCGGATGTAATGATATATCGGATATTATGATGGCAACATAGAATCAAAACATGCATAACACACTACATTATAATGGGCTATAGTGATAACTTTAAAATACATGTTGCAATAATATCAAAGGCCCTATTTTTTTACTTTCTTCACGTTGCTTATTTTGATAGTGACACATGTACATGTACATGTACATAACAGAATTTTTTATGGAAATGCGGGCACTGTCAACTATGCAGCATGCTCATTTGTCAAAACGCCATGCTGGAAGTATTCCCTTGCCTTTCATGTGTCGCTCGAAAAAAATCGATCGTATCGCATATAGTGATGCATCGGTTATAGTGATAAAATCACGGAAATCAAAAGGGTACGCTATAGCCGATACAGACTGTAATTGTAATTCGGAGTTCATTCTTTTGTCCTTCTCTAGCCTAGAGTAGCTCAAAAATCGATCCCTGGTCCGCTGCAGGATCGACAGTAGCGTTCAAGAAGCCCACCTTCTCTCGAAATTTGATTCAAGCCTGTGGGAGGCAAAGTGCAAAGATTTGATTGAAGACGACTTCTTCCAGGTGGCGGACTCCGTTCGCGGATCTCAGTGGCCTTTCATGCAGCGCCAGCTCGCGCGCAGAGATGCTATGCGCCGCTTTTTTATTTTTTATTTATTTTATTTTTTTACTATGTTCACATACCCAACTCATAAATAATACAGAAGACAATGGTACTGAGACAAGGACAAACGTGACAACTACTGAGAAGGGGCTGCACTGAGGTGCAGCAGTGATGGTGGGGCATTGATGGCTCTGCCGACCTGAGATCTCGGCATCACGGCCAGAAACACGCACCAAAAACAAAAGATAGAGCGGTAAGGGTCAGGAAAAATAAGAATAAAGCAAGGGCAAGCAACAGCTTCCGTTCCTCAGAACGACGTGCTGCTGTCCAACGGCCTTTCATGATGCGGATTAGGCGGCGCTGTTCTTTTCCTTGAAATTGTTTCAGGACAGCTGCAGTGCCCGGCAACTTCTTTACTAGAAGATCAAGATATCATCTTTGTGTTAATCCATTGTTTTATTATAAAATGGCCTGGTGCATTGTACATGACCACCTATGTTTCGTTGATGCGAATAAAACGTGCGAAAATAATCAGCACGCGATTTCGAGCATTTTGACATACATATCAGTGCATTGGGCTGCATTTGGATAATTAGAAGTTCCTGATAATTAGAAGTTGGGGCCTGGCAATTTGAGGTTCGAATTTTAGGGAGTCTACTTGTACATGCTTATTAACGGGCTTTTACAGTATGTGGCACCAAAGACTATTGAGCGCTTAATTCCTCACTTCATTTCCCTTATTTTCTGTGCAGATGCGCCAAAGCCAAGCGTTTTTGTTGAGATATTTCCGACAAAGGTCATCGTGAACATCTCTGCAAGCACAGGAAATTACCGTTTCTCCAAGTTCTGCTGTTACTTCACGAGGTATTCCGTATCTAACATACCAAAGTCCAACAGGCATAAGGTGACGGTTTGTAACCGTACTAGTCCCATTGTCTTCTCACCTGTTGAGGAGGATGCCAGTTACGGTAACCCGCGGCCATACTGTGTAATAAAGGACACACGTCCGGTTGACGGATATCCCACATTTATTCAAAACTTCACCACACCAGCAACAGGTAAATAATATTATTGTTCTCATTTTGTTGTTCTCAGGTCGAATTGTTGCTACTGCTAGTCCCGCATCATCTCCACATTCACCGATACTTAACACAACATGCCCATGATCCAGGTTGATATTTGGACCATTGGCTTTGCCTTGGTACAGTCAAACCTTGTTAGGACGAGCTTCAAGTGACCGAACAAGTTTTTTTACTCTTATCCGGAGTTCTTCTTATCCAGATCTGACAAAATATTTGATATACACATCATATGGATTGTTTTTATGTGAAGGTGCATACTGTGGCAAATGTAAAACATTTTTTCATAACATAACCCAGCAATAGGTAAGTACAATGTGCAATGAATTCATGACAGCATTACATCCGCCTTGTAATATGTTTTGCCGGTACAAGAGGCATCGACTATCGTAAAAAATCTACAGCCAGCGTACCCACGGGGACTGAAAGTTCGTATTACACGCTGATTTTGTTCCAATCACGCTTGAAATTAGTTCGTCTTCGGGAAAGTTCGCCCTGCAGAGTTTGTCGTAAACGAATAATTTAGACTTGATATGATGATGCCTGGCCAACCATAGGATTGACCCGAGTTCGTACTAATGGAAAGTTCACATTATCAGTGTTCATCCTAACGAGGTTGGACTGTACATGTCCTGATGCATTTGTGTGAACCCCACTTCATTCTGTAAAAAAAACAGGTACCTTATTTTTCGTTTTAAGAATAAGCCGTACCCAGATTTTGTTGTCACGAAATACAGACATCTACCCTGTTTTTTCACGATTCATTTGCCCATCACAGTATACGCCTTACTTACTGCTTTTTATCGGGTGTTAGTGGCCGTCGTGAGTTCCCTTCGGGAACGGATACGATAATTTACTTATTAATTTTATTTTACTGCTTTGCGGTGAACTACTGGTGTTGAAAGTGCATCTCAGTATACTCCGGAAAATAAGGTACCGACAGCACCTGAGATGAAACCAAGGACTTCTTGTGGCCATCCTTGCACAGAATAGGTTGGTGCGACAGGGAAAGCGAGAGCTCCCACGTAGGGAGCACCACACAATTCCCTTCCTTGTGCTGTAGTAACTTTAATCACTTCAAACTCTGCATGAATTACCACATCACTTATTACTTAGTATTAGGAAATTGGAGGCCACATGCCACGTACTGCTCTTTTCTCTCCGAAACTCAACACTTGCACGCCAGATACGAAAGAAGGAAAAGTGTTGAGTTTCGGAGAGAAAAGAGCAGTACGTGGCATGTGGCCTCCAATTTCCTAATACTTGGAAATTCTCCGTAAAATGACTAAACATTACCCATATCATAAGCTAAGTAATAAGTTGCAATTTCAAATTTGGACTTCACGGAGAATTTCCAAGTATTAGGAAATTGGAGGCCACATGCCACGTACTGCCCTTACTGTCATCGCTAACACAACATTAAAATGCTGTGTTAGCGATGACAGTAAGGGTTGGTTCACATATCGCCGGTACCGCCGGGAGTCATCGGGAGTGGGTCTCTTGCAACCTCTCCCGGCGCATTGCGATTATGTGAACCAGTGCAGTCGTAACAAAATCATACGGTAAAATATCGCAAGGGACCGCCGGCAAAGTTGGACAGTGCCCAACTCTTGCGATCTGCCCCGGCGCCGATCCCGTACAATTTTGACCTAAAGTGGTTTTTGAACCGTTCACGCCGGTGATCGCCGGCTGCCGGGAGCCAGACTTTGTCAAAATTTCAAACCAATACTTGTCCTAATTGTTTCTAAATTGAAGCTAGAGAGGAGGTCCGTTCGCCATTCTTGTAGTCGTTTCAAGGTGGCAAATAAGTCAGCATACCAACCCGTCCTTCTCGGATGATCTGCTTGCCCATTGTGCAACTTATGAGACAAGTACAATTGAAACAAATAAAAAATATGATGGATACATTGGCAAGTTCTTGTGACTTCATTAACGTTTGCAAGCATAATTTCGACACAATCGCTCACTAGACTGCAATAAAATGTGTAGAAGTAGTTTCATGATCTCCAGTAAAAGGTAGCACCGAGTGGCCATCACCGAAAGACCTTGAACTACTGGAGAAACAAAGAATTCAAGCTTCAATTGGCAAACCTGCCGTAGCATTTGGGCTCATTCTGTACTACTTTGTAGTAGATTTGGTACTCGAACCGTATGCGCAACGGATCGGGAGCTGCTCACCACCGATGTCTAGCGATGTCTTGCGGCGCCGATTTTGCTTATGTGAACCAACCCTAAGGGGGTGATTATATGTGCAGCTCCAGCCCGGGCTGGTCGACAGGCGGGCCAGCCCGCCTGCAACGGGATCTCGGGGTTGTACACAAATCCACACAAAACCTGTGGTGCGTTTACATGGCAAGCGGGCTGGCCCGGCGAGGCGGGATCCCGCCTCGAGGCACCCGGGATCCCGGCTAGGCGGGCCAGAAAAAGCACATATAAACAGACCAGCCCGGGCCAGAGTTGTATTATTATGGTGTCGACACTGCGTGCATACTACAAAATAGGTACTTTTACCTTTTGAGGGTAGTTATAAAGAGGATTTCGGATATTGTAAAAAAATTCTTCAGCTTTTTGTACAGCAACAAGAAGGACGTACAGTGAGCACTGTTTATTTGTTGACATGCATGATTTACATTAAAGTGGAAGGGGAACTACTTGCAAAATACTTTGATATGGACAGCTAAAAATGTGAAAAACAGGGAAAAGAAACGAGGTGATACAACACACCAAACATGTGCCACAGCGCGAAAAGAAATCAGCAGAAGAATACATTGTGTGAGAAAAAAGGTTTTTAGGTTTATAACCTGAGTATGGCTTGCAGCCCTGCGTTTCAGCCCGGGGCAGCACACTACAGTCGTAGTGTATTTGCTACATACTCACAACGGGCTGGCGTGTGCTCAGCGCATATAAACTCACTGCGGGCTGGCGACCAGCCCGGCCTTGCACATGTAAACACCCTTGGCGGGCTGGCCCGCTTGCTCCAGCCCGGGCTGGAGTTGCACATATAATAGGCCCCTAAGACGTTATCTCCATCCGGGTTCTAAACTTGATTGATTGTCATGTATTGTGGTAGAGAGTGTAAGCTTGAAAACTAATCCTGAGAGCACTCAATGTGGTATTGACAGGTCAGCGCCCAGGAGGTTTCCCATGCACACTAATCGTCGTGCCAATCTCTGCAAAGTGTGTGTTGTGTTTGGCCTGCAAGCCAAGCACACGTCCATTGTGGGGACAAGACAAAGACTGCAGATATATTTACGTCCAGTATGCACTTTTACAGATGAGAGAGAAAGAGGCAATACGAGGAGAGATAGTGCTGTGGCAACCACAACTACTGCCGTGGACTTGGAAATTCAGTCGAATGACTGGGGCCGGCACCCTCAGTGCGTACAGAAGGTTGCATGCACAGGGCACATGTTGATCGTTTGCGTACTCACGGCTGCATGGCGGGCACCCTAGGGCCGCTTGACCTCCGACTGGATTTCCTCGTCCACCATATTAGGGTTATGTACCTCCTCCCGTACATTGCCTCCTTCCACAACCTTTTCCTGCTGACCTGTATGCACCCTGTACTTACCCTCACGTACCCACCTTTTCTTGGCCTGGGTAGCTACTTTCATGCCCATATTTGCTGTAGCTACCCAAGCCCTTGATCTTGCACTCCTTCTCTCAAAACTCTCTCTCCCTTTCATCATGTAATCGTTCGTCTTTCTCTCCGTTTCTCGGTCTCCCTAATAAATGTTGTCCTACCACATACATATATGGCGGAATACAAGTCCCCGAGGCAAACTATCACCCTCCTAGGCGTCCTCTTTGACAAGAAGCTATCTTTTGGGGAGCACCTCCGGTCGGTTGCAACCCGAGCAAGGCAGTGACTTGGTCTTTTGCGCCGGTCTGCTCATCTTCTCCCTCCGGCTGGGCGCATAACCGTGTACAAGGCATTCGTTCGTCCACTGCTGGAGTACGCCCCACTCCACCGCCACTAGTGCACTTGCGTCACACTATTTATTGGCTTTGAGCAACGGACTCCCTAAGAGGCAACATCACCCTACAACCAGCAACTACCCTCAGCTCTCTCTCTCTGTCTCTCTGTCTCTCTCTCTCTCTCTCTCTCTCTCTCTCTCTCTCTCTCTCTCTCTCTCTCCACACTATACTTTCGCTATTTTCTTTTTTTTCAATCTCTTTTGTTTCTCTTCTTCTACCGATTTTCTGATTTGTGAAGTAGGCGCGGATGCCGAGACCATTGGTCGGCGGAGCCTGCAGCACCCCATCACCACCGCTGCGTTGCATTTGCAGCCCCATTCAGTCAATGTCTTGTTAGTCTGTTGTTTTGTCATTTCCTCCTTCTTTCTTCTTTTACGAATTGGGTGCGTGGTTTCAAGTAAATAAAAAATAAAATAAATAAAAAAATACCTCATCCCCAGCCCGGGCCCAAACATGAGCCAGCGTGCGCACAATTGCGAGCCACCATCCGTTCCAGCTGACCAAGACTGTCTCATGTCAGTCTCGGAACAATGTCCTTCGGTCCTTCCCCCACTGTATGATTGACACCTGGAATTGCCTCCGAGCCTCTATCCTCGGTGCTCGCCCCTCCCAGAAGTCGATGCAGACCTTCAAGAGGAACGTCTATGACCACCTGAGGCAGTCTGACTGGGACTGGGCAACCGACCGCCTCTAGCCTCCTCCGGGATTATGCCCTGCTTCTCCCACCCCCAAGCCTAATTGTCGCCAATCCTGAGTAGCCAATCTTCACTGCAACCCTATTGTACCCTTCATTTCACACTCTCCTTTCACTATTATTATCTGTTTGATTATTTGCTATTTTCTGCTGTGTTCCAAAATTAGATCCTCTCCTTTATTCTAAATCTTCCATTTTCTCCCGTGCTTTTTTCCCCTCATGCTTATGCTTCCCTCCCTAATTTGGTGCGCCTGCCATGTGAGGATGCCGAGACATCTGGTCAGTTGAGCATGGCAAGCCCCACCAG